TCTTCATGTACCGAGCAGTCTTACCATCTAAAATACGACTCAAAACCTTAGGGTTGGGGTTTTGGTCTATAGGGGTTACGCCCTGCGTAGCATAACCTACGCCCTGTGTAGGCCATTAAACCCGCGTTCAGAATTCAATACCTACGCGCAGCGTAGCTTTCTTACGCCTAGTGTAGGACAAAAATTCCCAATTTCCAATTCAACTTCAAACAACCATAACTTCTTCGTTTCAACTCCTTTTTCGGCGTTCTTTATATGCGCGGAAAGGTATTGATGAGCCCCACAATTCTATCTAGTTACTTTTCACTTAACACGTGTCGAACTAAAACGATAATCCATGCAAGAAGCCCGACATATAACTTTTCACATTTTACCCTTTGGTTCCAACATACAAATCAAGGACTTAGATCTCAAAACCAATATTATCAGCATTCAATAAAGTTTAAACTTAAATCTCATGATCGAATTACGGACCACAATCCTGAATTAAGAAACATCCTGAAATTGGGTGTTACACATGTGGTTTGATTTTGTTTCGACTTTAGTCCCTAAAATACATAAAATGACTAACCCACAGTTATTGATTTTTTAATCGTTATTTAACTAATTCAAATTATTATATATCCTTATTTAGACAAAATGGCCCCACCATCCCAACTAGAGATGCACAAAACTCCTATTCGATCCCAATGTGACAACGTCGATCCGCTATGGTTTGAAACCGGTTTGGACCGGGTCTGATCGATTTTTTTGCTAATAATAGATTATCGATTTGTTTATAAAGTTTTGAAAACAAGAATGCAAAACAAAATAACCAAAATAACTCTTTGATTAATTGGAAACTAACTCAAAACCGATGTTTTACAATCTGTTCTCATAATCATAAACTCGATTATGAACATGTATATATAGCCTAACAAACCAACTTGTATTAGACTAGGAAACTTATGACCAACTTGTCATAAACTAAACTTTCCATAAATTAGATTGCTTGGTCTCCAAGTCCTCATCGACTTAGGATTCCAACAATCACCCCCGAATCTCTAAGTCCTTCTAGAAAAATTCTTCAACCCCGATCAACATCCTATTATCTCTTTTCACCACCCCGACCTCTTTAATCAAGCTTGCTCTGAGAGCACTTTTCCACCGAACAACAAGACAAGGTCATGACCACCTTTACCGTCTTCCGTCGCCCGTAAAACGAACCGAATCAAAGCTACCCGCTCTATGTCTTCCCGTTCGTTTATCCTGTGCCCCCGGTTAGTCTCTCTCTACCGTAGAACAAGTCTGGTCAAGAGAAATCGGGGATGCTATTGAGATGCTTCAACTCGCGCTCAAAAACAATCCACACCCCCTTAAACCGAACCCGGTTCCCGCTGCGTCTGCCCCGCAACGAAAGGCTACAATTTTCTTGAAACCGACTCTCAAACCGGCACCGTCTTAACCTCGCTCTGATACCAATTAAAGTTTTGAAAACAAGAATGCAAAACAAAATAACCAAAATAACTCTTTGATTAATCGGAAACTAACTCAAAACCGATGTTTTACAATCTGTTCTCATAATCATAAACTCGATTATGAACATGTATATATAGTCTAACAAACCAACTTGTATTAGACTAGGAAACTTATGACCAACTTGTCATAAACTAAACTTTCCATAAATTAGATTGTTTGGTCTCCAAGTCCTCATCGACTTAGGATTCCAACAGTTTAATCCTATTTGATCCAGAATTTGATTTATTTAAACACTCAAATATAACATAAAATGCACCATATGATCATTATAATATTTAAAACATACATCAAACGTCCATGGTAGAGTTTTGGACGCTAAACTAAACTACTAAACTAGTAATAAAAATAAAGTGGCGTTAAAGCATTTTGCCAATTAGTCTTCTTTTTTGTGGTCTTTTACTTTGGGTTCACCTTTGTTTTGTTGTTGTTTAACCTTCACATATAGGGTAAGTGGTCTCATCAATACACTCGCTTTCATCTTCGTCTACGTACTCATCTTCATCATCGTCGATGTCATAAGTAAGTTCTGAAGGCATTGTTATGCATGTTCTCATTCTTGTTCCATTATTTCCTGTTCGACATTGTCTTGAAGTGGATCTTCGAGTGTTGACAAGTGTTGTATACATTCCACCGAATCCAAGTAATCCTTCAAATAAATGCAATCGCCATCTAGATAAGATTTTTTTCTCAACTTTGATAAAACCCTACCACTAAAAGAAAAAAATGTATTCAAAAGTTACCGTAGAAGCTTGAATTGTTAGTAAATCATGGATCATAACAAAGAGAATTGAAAATTATGCTTCTTTTTCTCTCCACCAAGTTAAACGATCCAAAATTTTAAATCGTAGTCCACTCATGAATTTTAGAATGTTTAACCCATATAAATTCCAAATTCACTATTAGGGTTAATATGTATGGTCTTTTGTTTTATTCCTCTAAAAAATAGCTATATATAGGTCGATATTAAAGTCTACTATCCTCTCTAATAAATGAAAATAATTTTGTCACATGTCAGTTTCTCATTAACTTGGACTAGGCATGAGCAAATGGACCGAACCGGCCCGAACCGGCCCGAACCGGACCCGACCCGGGAACCGGCTTCGGCCAAAATCAAGAACTGAACCGGCCCGGCGGTTCTATCGGTTCCGGTTCCGGGTCCGGTTTTTGCCGGGTTTTCGATTTTGGAACCGGTTTGATTTGACACGCTTCCTTGCGGGGCTTGTAACTCATTCAATTTTTAACCAAATCAAGCGTTTTTATAGTCTAAACTTAACTACAAAACCTAAACTACATGTAGGAAAAAGATTCAGGTCAAAAAAACTTAAATTGAGTGAGTTATGCACATTTGAACAACAAAGCCAGATTACGTTTAATTGCTGTAACATAAAAAAATTCTGATTTGACACGCTTCCTTGCAGGACTTGTAACTCATTCACTTTTTAACCAAATCAAGCGTTTTTATAGTCTAAACTTAACTACAAATCCTAATCTACATGTAGGAAAAGATTCAGGTCAAAAAAAGTTAAATTGAGTGAGTTATGCACATTTGAACAACAAAGTCAGATTACATTTAATTGCTGAAACATAAAAAAAATTCTGATTTGACACCCTTCCTTGCGGGGCTTGTAACTCATTCAATTTTTAACCAAATCAAGCGTTTTTATAGTCTAAACTTAACTACAAATCCTAATATACATATAGGAAAAAGATTCAGGTAAAAAAAAGTTAAATGCAGTGAGTTATGCACATTTGAATAACAAAGTCAGATTACATTTAATTGCTGAAACATAAAAAAAAATCTGATTTAACACCCTTCCTTGCGGGGCTTGTAACTCATTCAATTTTTAACCAAATCAAGAGTTTTTATAGTCTAAACTTAACTACAAATTCTAATCTAAATGTAGGACAAAGATTCAGGTCAAAACAAATTAAATTGAGTGAGTTATGCATATTTGAACAACAAAGTCAGATTACATTTAATTGTTGAAACATAAAAAAAAATTCTGATTTGACACCCTTCCTTGCGGGACTTGTAACTTATTCAATTTTTAACCAAATCAAGCGTTTTTATTGTCTAAACTTAACTACAAATCATAATCTACATGTAGGAAAAAGATTCAGGTAAATTTAAAAAGTTAAATTGAGTGAGTTATGCAACTTTCAAAATTTGAGTGAGTTCTCCGGTCCGGTTCCCGGTTTTGGGCCGGTTCCAACGACCGGTTCTTAACGGGTCCTGGTTCCAAAACTTGACGAAATTATAGTATTGGTCCCGGCCCAACCGGTTCCATTGGGTACCGGTTCCGGGACCGGTTCCGGCCGGTTCCCCGGTCCATATGCTCATCCCTAACTTGGACACATGTCATTTTTTGGTATTTTTGAATAAATGTTTTTTCCATTTGTCATTTTGTCATTTTCTTTTTTATCTTTTCTTAATTAACACAACATATTTACACCTCAAGTAATAATTGCCTTAATTGAAAATAACCAATAAATTACAATATTACTACTCCATATAGTATTTAATATGTTTCCTTTTAAATTCAAATTTTAAATTTTAAATTTCAAATCTAAAATTTTAAATTTAAATAAATTTTTGTTTAAACCTAAATATTTAATTTTTTGTTTTATCCAACCCATATAACATACAGGTTTCACAACTAGTAAAATAACATATCACAAAGATCATTTCTGTTTACTAAATAAAACTCTAATAATTTATAAATATTTCTATTTTTCCCACAATCAAGACTTTTATCTTCATTTATTTCAACCATTTATGAAAGCCATGTATAAACATTCTATTCTCGAAACTTTAAAGTCATAACCTATCACCATGCCAACATTGAGTCACATCTTGCACCATGATTCACACATCACAATAACTAAGTCGTGCCTATAGTTTTCTCCTAAGGAGGCAATAATCCAACCTCATTAATACATAGAAAGGACACTCGATTTAATCCACGTATTCTACAACACTCTTCAAAAAAAAGAAAAAAAAGGTGTGGATTTAACGAAATAAAATAAAAACATGAGCATACAAAGGGTAAACAGTGGTTTGTGACTACAGTAAAGTAAAAAGGCATATACAAATGATAAAGCTGAAAGCAAACATGAGGAAGGGTAAATAGGTAAATACTTCTAGCAAACTGTAGCTATACATGTAACATGTCCAATATTGGCTGCATCAAAGTCAAACGACCAAATAGTCAATCTAACATTATCTTATACCTTATTTACAAAGTTGTGCTACAAATAGTCAAATAACATAACCATTTATTATTCCAAATCGAAAAACCCAGCATCCCTCATCTCAGAGAGTAGTAAGCCTTATCCAAAAGCAAGTCTTCCTCCTGAAAAAAAAATATATATATATATATCTATATATATATATATATATATATATATATATATATATATATTATCATTTCTCCAAGAAAACTGCATCTTTTTTAATGTTAAATCAAGGAGAAAATTAATAATTATATAACTGGAAGAAATCGGAGAGGAAGGTAGGGAAGATAGAGTGTGTGGTAGCAGATAACAACAAAGCTATACACCCTGCATAAATAAAATAAATGACAAAATAAAAATCATATATTTTTTTATTTTATATATAAATAAAATATAGTTGTGTATACTGTATAGGTACCAAAGTCCAAAGGCCAAGCCACTGGCAGCAAATCCACAACCAAATAATGCAATTCTAGTGATGATGAACATGGCAACAACATAGTTGTAAAATGCTGGTCTCAATAAAAATGGAATGGAATAAGGCATGCTTTATGAAATTTTATATTATACAAAAATAAAAAAGTAAACATAATAAAAGCTCATTAAACTTACGAGGCAACTTATCTCTCCATTTAGAGTAATGTACAAAAAGAATGTAGGCATAAGTGCATGTGAGCAATAGTTCATCAACTATCCACAATCCCCACTTCCCTCTATGGCTCGTTTCATCATCCATGAAAAGTAGGACATGGAATCCAAACACAAAAATCGCCTAATAAACAAACAATAAAATATGTCAATAAAATAATAATAAATTGATAATTAGGTTCGGGATAATCACCTTGAGAAGTATGTTTGCTCCAACAATGAGGCCTGAAATAATGAAAGTATGAGCTAATGCTTGAAGGCCACTTGCATAATTTTCTTGAAATAAGAAGGCCACTAAGCTAATCTCTAAACACAGTGTTCCCATTGAAGTCAGCAATGACAAAAAGTTCCAAGAAACCTCCTTCCGAGGAATGCATTGCCATACCTATATATTTTTAAACAAATATGTAGTTTTAATCTTATGCTAATCTCATGATTTTTGATATGTTTTGGCTTTGGTTGAGCTCTAATTAGGTGTTGTTGAATCCTAAATGCCTCAGAGTTTAAATGTATATGATTTATCACCTATCATTTCCTTTATTGTTGAACGTCACTGTAATATAGTAAGAAGGTTTAGTATGAACCTAAAACAACACATTTACACTTAATCATATAAGAATTGATACACTTTGAACTACAACTAAACTATAGGGACAATTTGTCAAATACAAAAATTACTAGAATATATATATATATATATATATATATATATATATATATATATATATATTAAGAAGAGGGTAGGAAGCTTCACAGATCAATCTGTTTTAGATGCAGTCCACAAGAAGAAAGGTATGGAAATTTAACACACATCATCTTCAAGTACACTTAACAGTCACTAAAGTAAAAAAAAAAAAAAAACAATAATCTAGAAACAGCGTCTAATTGCCTAAATGCCTCAAGTCCTATCTGACTCCATGACCCTCACATCCTCCTTCCCAAATCTATGCCACTCTTACCCTGTAAACTCATTTTACTTATATAAACTAAACAATAAATTAAAGAAATTGTAATTAAGGAGGATCTGGTACTGCATAACAATCACATTCTTCACAAAGTGTGAGGTCTAGGCTCCAATTAACTAAGGGAGCCCCATGCGCGCATACGTATTGCGTATACAGAGGTATAACATCAGCAACAATATTATCTTCAAAAAGGACATGAAATGTTACCTGAAGAGAGCACCAAGCGAGATTGAGGATAGCTGACAACCAAAGGAGGGCATCCATAACATGTGATCGACGACGATTGAGCTTCTTGATGTTCCTTTTGAGATGAAACCCTAAATATAGTACAAATAAAACCCCCAGGATCGATAAAACGGCGATGTACCATAACCCATGGCATCTATACTGAGTGAACTGGGACGATGGTGATGATACTGTACCATTATGATGGATGTCGGTTATGGCGGGTAATGGTCTTGATCCTTCACCATCTGCTAGAGAAACAAGAATTCGGTAATTAAAGGCATAGATGATGTTCGAACCCTAATTTTGTGCGTGCCTTTAGATCAATCGGAGCGTCTTCGATTTTATCCCCGGAAAAGAAACCTAATTTATGTCGGTGTTGAAATTGCAGACTTCGGAGTTATCAGATGAGGATTGACTAGCGACACCGACTGATTATGCTGGCACTTGTTATTTGAACTTTCCATTTATTTTTTATTTTTTTGTCTATGAAAATACTCGCACGAAACCCAATTCCGATTAGGGTCCCGTTAGAATGGAAGCTTCCCTCACTTTTTGTCAGCCATACCCTTTTTTTCTTCACTTTTCGTTCTCTCCCCTAAACCCAAGGAATGGGTGGGAAGCCCTTCCCTCACTCTTTTTTTTTTATTAAATAAAATTAATTTTTTTGTTATTAATTATAATTTTTAAATTAATACTAAACATAAAATTTAATTAAAAATAAAAAACATTTCATTAATTAAAATAAAACTTACATTAAACCTAAAATTTAAAAAAGTAGAAAAAAAAAACACACACACACACAAACTAAAAATCAAACAAATCAACGACCTACGGAAAATATTTTTTCAGAATTTTTTTCCCTCTTTTTCATCACGAGCTCGAGAGCCGGTCCCGAGAGATGATCGACGTTTTCCATCAAAAACTTCATGTCCTCCATTTCTTGTCTCTCCGCCCACTCCTTTTCCTTGTTTCTTCTTTTTCTTTGTCGAAAGCCAAACGTTCGGAGAAATTTAGATTATATCGATCAAACGACGATGTTATCTTCCGCATTTCGTCAATGTCCACGCTGAAATCAGATGCACTCGAAGAAGTCCCTTTTCCCTTTCTCTTCGCTTTGTCCCTACCCATTGGGCGAACAATTTCTTCTAGCTCAAGTTCGTCGTCCTGATTTAAATCTAGACCGACCCGAGCATCGGAGGGGGTTGTGTAACCACTAGAGCCCGTTTCCGTTCGCTTTGATTGTTGGACTCCAAAAATAAAATCTTGCTCGTATTTTTTCCACCTAGGACTTCGGACCAATAATTTCCAACAATCGTGCCACTTGAATGGTTTTCCGACTTCCTCAAGGTAAAACTGCAACGCTTCTTGAAGTATTTCTTCGTCGCCTTGGCCGCTTTTTCGTTGGGTTTTTAGGTTGTTGTACAACCCGTTTATTTTTGAAACCCCCTTTGCTATTTCTCGAAACTTCGAATTAAGTTGATGTTTCGTACGGTAGTCGTCCCATTTTCCTAGCTCCTCTCGAAATCGTTCTAAAATGCGAAACCAAAAATGTTCTCTCGGTTGTGCGTTTCCCTGAATCGAATCTTCAGAAATATTAACCCAAGCTTTGACCAAAACTAGCTCTTCATGTGGAACCCATGTTGTCGGCTTTTGTCTTCCCGGTTGTGTGACACCCTCGCGCGCTTGTTTTTTCCCTTTACGTCTTTGTGGTGGTGGTGTTGGTTGAGTTTCGGGAACCATGTCTTCTTTCTTCCGCGTCATCCGATTCATCGACAAGTTGGTGTTGTTGTTGAGTTTGGGTTTGAGTTTCAGTTTGAGTTTGGGGTTGAGGTTGATTTGGCGATTGTTGATCCGGAAACACAACAAAGTTTGAAAACATTTGCGACGGAACATTTGGAACTTGCATCGGGTAAATATTGGCCAACATTTTGGTATTGGAATTGTAGTGGAGATTGAATGGGAGCATCGAGTTGGGGGCGGTAAACTCCTTGCGGGGATGAATCGATAGCAAAAATGTTTCGAGGAGGGATGTTTATACTCGAACCATGACTTTTTTTCCTTCGATCGGAAGTTGGGATTTGATTGTCGGGATTCATTTTTTTTTTTGTTGAAATAAAGTAGAGAGAATAGAGGACAGTGTGATGTTTGATGTTATATGTATGTATTTATAGGAGTGGAAAAATGATTAAAAAAAACAAAAAAAAACCACAATTAACCGTTACAGCAAAAAAAAAATTACATTTTTACTGTTGATTAACGGTTCTTTTTCAAAAAAAAAAAAAAAAAATTTCCAGCCAATCGCAGCAAGAGAGAGAGAGAGAGCGGGAGAGTCTCCCCTCTCCGTTTCCCGCACAACGCTTCCCCGCGCCGACGGTGCGGTGTTCCGCCGGGAGGAAAGCTTCCCGCTGCCGTTTTCCCCGCGCCCGCTCCGTCCGGCCTTATTCCGCCTCCCCCCCTTAAAAAAAACCCCTTATTCACGCGCTTTGTTTGTTTCCTTTCATCCACTCGCCGTTTTTTTTTTCTTCATGCAACTTACCATTTTGAGCTATGGTCCTTGTACTTTCAACAATTGTTAAAATACACCCAAATGTAGATTTCCTTTGTATATGCGATACTTTCTAAAATTTCAATGTATCCTTGAACATTTATACTTTTAACATTTAATTAATCTTTGTTACTTTACTTTCATTATAACCTTTAATTATTTATTAATAATTATTTATAATTATATAATATTTTTTTATTAAATCAATTTACATATCTTTATGAAAGTGTTTAATTTTATTTTAGTTCCTTTGTTTTTTTATTACTTTCTTATGCTTTAAAATATTTATAACTTTATTTAAATACAAACGTTATTCATTTTTATTATTAATCCTTTTCTAGTAGTTTTTCTTTAATAAAAATAAAGTTATATATTATTGAATTAATATACATTAAAAGACAAAATATATTTTCTTTAAGATATTTAAAATTACATAATATTTAGCTTTTGAACAATATATTTATATAAAAAATCTTATATATAAAATGAGATGTATTAATTTCTTTTCCAATATTTTTGTTATATATAAAAAACATCACATCACTCATCTAGGGGTGGATATTAAATGGATAGGGGATGGACTAAATATTGGGAGCCTTCCGATTATCATCGGTCTCTTTTACAAATGGTTCTTTGCAAGTTGACGTACCGGAATCGTTACTACCATTATATTTACTATTTATCAATTACATCTTAATAGACCAAATGGAAACCAATAAATTATATCCATGGATTTTGAGATCATGACATTATTTGTAAGGCATATTGGACTCCATTAAGAAACAAAAAAAAATATGAATGATAAAAAACATATGTTGATTATCTATACACGTTTTTTCAATGTGTTTACTACTTTGCATATACAGACTTTCAAAACAATCTATCTCACAGTGAAACCCCCACTCATCAACATGAGATGGGAGACTACACTTAGTAGACATGGCAAACGTGTATGTTGTGTTGAGTTGAACATTAAACGGGTTTAAAGAACTTAAAACTAACCCTACTTGTTTAATTAACATGTCGTATCTACCTGTTTATTTTGTGTTAGGTTAGCGGGTTATAGTTTAGACCTTGTATATGTGTCATATTATGTCAGTTAAAACTTAAACCAAACATATTGAAATATGAGTTGAGAAAACGAAAAGAAATAGTGAAAATCGGAAAAGTAGGAATTTAAAGATGGAAGGGGCAAGGTCATACTGTGGAGTGTGGGAGAGAAAGAAAAAGATGGAACAAAATCTTGACCTAGACGACTAAGTCATTTTCATATTACAAAGTGACTCGACCCAACAAAAATCTTGTATATCTGGTTTTGGATTTGGATATATCCAATTTATCTAAAGAATTAAAAACACTTGGTTATAAATAAACATGTCATTATCATCACTAACCTTACCTATTTAGTTTTCATGTTATGTCATGTCTTGTCAACCCATTTAATTAAATGGGTTGAAAACTCTTACACAAACCTTTTTATTTCAAGTTGGGTTTGTATCGGTTCAGAGTGTCGTGTTAGTTTTTGCTACCTTTATTTGTCATAACCACACATGTGTGTTTCCCTTATATTCACTTCTAAACAAAAACATTAGTGGGTCTAAATGTTGATCTTGCTTCCAATGGATCAATCAAGAAATTAATAGACTTTTTTTCTTAGTGGAACCCTTTGACGGACCAAAATATGTTTAAAAGAATACCTAAGATATGTTTAAAAGAATACCTATAACCACATTGTGTCAACACATGAAATCTAGTAATCATAAATTACTATGCATGACATGTTGGAATTATAAATTACTATGCATGACATGTTGGACTTTATGAATTTAGTCGTTGAAATATAAAATAAACTTTCATCTTTCAACTATTTAGGGGGTGTTTGAGATTGCTTTTCAAAACAATTTATTGACTTATTGGTTTTTGAAAAACCAATAAGTAAAAAAAAGTGTTTAACAATCTCAAAATTACTTTTTAGAATGATTTTTCCTTTAGTTTTAAAAAGTTTTAAAAAAATGATGTAAAACTTGATTTTTTGAAACTTTTTTTTAGCTTTTCACTCCTAATAACTTCAAAAAAGAGTTTGTAAGCCAAATAGTTTTTAACTTATTGATTTCTGTCACCATAAAAGCTAATTAAAAAAAAACCTTTTTTACCACCACCATAAGCTAATAACCACTTTTGCCCAAAAACACTTTTGAAGCTGAAAAAACCATCTCAAACAGCCCCTTAAAATATCCTCCTTTGGTTGTTTATTGGTGATATATAAATTATATACATGAATCCTCCTTCGGTTGTTGAGTGGTGATATATAAATTATATACATGAATGACAAAAAAACAGAGATGATTACAAAATTGATCACAAACTTACAAAAATATATGAAAATGGCCTAAATTTTGCCCAATTTCCAAAAAAGGGTCTTCGAATTTAAATGATATTGAAAATTTTAAAGTGAATTCAGATGACAATATTGTTGATGTATTTACGAAGTCTTTGGTTTTCCGTCAACATGATATTATGTGTAGGAGAATGGGTCTTATTGATCCATTTCACGAAAAATGTTAGTTGAAGGTTTCAATGATTAGTTTGAGGGGGGTATTGAGAATAACAAGTCTCACAAACTTATCATTGAATATTGTTATATCCTTTTTTCTATATCCTTTGTTGATATTTATTATTTATGTTAGGGTATATTGTGTATATATTTGGAAACATGTTTAGTAAGATTTGTGCTAGAAGGATTGGAATTGTCAAGTTTGTTGAACATTTGGATTGCGGCTCCTAATCTTAAAGATGGGTTATTGATAAACGTGTGGATCCTACCCAACTTGTTATGCGGGTGGATGTTACCCGGAATTGATCTATCTTTCTACTGAAGTAAAATATTGAAGATCTGTGTGTATTTTTCAATATAAGCGATAATTTCTCATATTCGTCTTGTTATCTTCTCTCATTCTCTCTGTATGGTTCTTAGGGTTTCATCGTTATGGTTTCTTCTACAATCTTCGTTATCTTGTTCTTAGATTAGGAGTTTGTTGATATGAGAGAGAGTGAATTTGTAGTGAGGAATTTCTTTTGTAAGTTTGTTTGAAAACCAACTTGTTCTTTTTGAGTGATAACTGTTGATGTTGTGGTATTTTGAGTTTGATGTGATTTTATGTTTGTTAGAGATTTTTTTTAAACTTTTTGTGAGACTATGAAAAAACAAAACAATTTTTCAGAAATTCGAACTTGTTCTTCAGGAACATGTTTTCAAAATTTTAAATATATTTTTCATGCCCACAATGCTTAATCCATCATGTACAGTTTTATTATTTTATATATAAAAGTGTTTTTGATGTTACCAAAACAAATATAGAATGACTCATACGATACAAGATTTTTTTAAACGACTTAAAGTAATTATAAAGATATAACTTCACATTTTTATGGAAACTTCTGTGATTTTCCCAAAAACTAATTAGTGTTATAACCTCCATTATCGAATACTTTTGTGATTGCCAAGACAATTTCACCGATGCGAATGATCACAAATCCTTATTCTAATATATGAATAGGTGTATTCTCCTATTGACAAGTGTCATACTATTATAACTCTTCACTAATATTATATGTTAACTATAATGCCACATGTCAATCTATTAATTATCAATTTCAAATTTAAAATTTAAAATTTAAAATTTCTCACTCTAATTACATTAAATTAATAATTGATTTTCCATTTTAAAATTCAAATTTTAAATTTTTTCACTCTAGTTATATTAAATTAATAACATTAGATTAAAAAATAAAATAAAAGTAATACAGATTATAAGGTGATATAACTTCACGTATTTATTTAAATCAACGATTATAATTTTATATAACTAAATTTTTTTTAAAGAATAATTTATTTAAAATAATTGATTAATAATTTTGATTTTTAATATGAAAGTTTAGTTAATTTTATAACCGTGGTACTCACGGGTTATAAACTACCGATATATATTTGTAACTTTACGCCAAAAAGCCTGGAAGAAAATGTGATGTGTATATGGTGTAGCCGTGTAGCAAATGAGTTCTTCTAGAAACAATGTTAGTTATAATTTTTCTCGATCCACCACTTCAATCATCTTCAAACAAAAAAATAATATGCGGGTCAAAATAAAATTAAACTGTTTTGCAAGAATTGATGCGTGGAATAGAAGAAGATAAATTAGAATATTGGGACATAAAATCAAACAAAATTAGGAATCGAACAAGCTTGAGAGATTGAAATCGGAAAAACCAGAAGCAAATCTATTTGATTTCCCAAATTAAATTCATATGGTGGGACCATGAGTGAGAGATACGAGAGAACGTGTGAATTTAGATAATAAAATAAGACTAAATCTGAGTGTGAGATTGGGATGAGGGATTATGGGGATAATAGGCGCAGTGACGGATGCTTAAAACGGTTGCACCCGTGATTTTAGGGGTGACACACCTGAAAATTTACATTACATTGAAAATTTTCTCAAAAACTATATATTGTGCTGCAAAATTTGAGCTTTATTAGTCGAATTATTTATAAAAGGAACATTTGTATCTTTTCAAAATTTGAGGGGTTGCATCGGCCACCCCGGAAACCTCTAAATCCGGCCATGAATAGGCGAATGTCATGTATTACCGAGATATACCTTCATGTTGTGTCTTAAATTTCAAGAATAACTGAATTTCAGTTGGTATGCTTAATAGATAAGATTAAATCTCTAAGTGTCGAGATTGGGATGTGAGATAAAAGGATCATAGGAGAACGGACGAATGTCATATATTACCAAGTACCTTCGTGTTATGTCTTGAATTTTCAAGAATAATTAGATTTCAAACGGTTAATAAATACTAATAATAAAGAATGTATTAGAACATAGGCTTTCCTATTTTATTATATAACCCAAGTTCTCGCTTCTTTGTTCTTGATTTCCAATAAGTCTTGTCTAGAGTATTGTCATACTCTTTTTTTTTCTTGTTATATATTTTGATTTTCCTCTAAAATTTGGATTTGTATTCGGATGAACGAGATAATTCAATTGGAATCGACCAAAGTTTGATAAGAAATAAGATTTCAGAAAAATATAAGACAATATTATTTTCACTCTCTTTAGTTCGACTATTTTCTAGGTGCATGTCATATATATGTAATTATGCTTTTTCCGTAACCAACTTTGAAATATATAAAAAAGAAAACATTTTTTTTTTGTTTATGTTGGATTTCATAATTCACATGATGTCAAATAAATCTCTTTAATGATTCGGAAACGTACATCTTGATGCTCCACTAGATGTCTATTATCATTCTTTGATACATGATTTGCGTATTTGTTAATTGTTATGATACATGATTGACATACTTGTTCATTTGAATGGACACAACGGGCCTTTCTCATTTTCTCTATTGGGTGGAAACATGAAAACATCATTCTTTTATTAATTTATTCATAGGTTATTAAAGTTAACTTTGTTTTACCTATTGCAGCAACTGCATTGAAGACCTACTTGGGTAATAAAATAAATATACACTAATTGGTAGTGTATAAAAAAAATACAGTCATGGATGTTAAGAGTGAAAATATGTACTCCTTTCAAAAAATCAGTAAACGAAGAGGTCTAACTATAAAAAGTAATATATATATATATATATATATATATATATATACTATCTTACCCCCCACAAAAATTTATACATCCCCACCATTTGCATTTGCATTCGCAACTTGAATCAAAATATCAGACTTCTTCCCTGTTGCAGCATTCACCAATCCATCATTCCTTTCTGTTCTATAACTCAAGTCCTCCCCATTCATCTCTGCATCTATGTACACAGCTGGTTCTCATCGATCTCTTCTCTTATCAGCATCTTTGATAACTCAGTCACTACCCTCCTCTCCAGCCACCTCCTAATCGGCCTTGCCCCATACACCGGATCATAACTCTGACTCAGTATCACATCCAATGCCGCCTCCGTGACACCCAAAGCAACACCCCTCTCAGCCAATCGAACAGCCACATCCTTCAACTGAAGCCGAGCAACTTTCCTCAATTGATCATGAGATAAAGGATCAAAAACCACAATCTCATCAAGTCTGTTCAGGAGCTCCGGTTTGAAATGCTTCCTCACTTCTTTCATCACCATTTCTCGAGCATTCTCCATTGTTGTTTTCCCAGATAACCCTTTTAGCAAATACTCAGCTCCAAGATTCGAAGTCATGATGATGACTGTGTTTGTGAAGTCAACCGTTCGACCTTGACCATCGGTCAACCTTCCATCATCCAACATTTGAAGAAGCGTGTTGAACACGGATTGATGAGCTTTTTCAACTTCATCAAACAACACAACATTGTAAGGTCTCCTCCTCACAGCCTCGGTCAACTGACCACCTTCTTCATGACCAACATACCCCGGTGGAGCTCCGATCAGCCGTGACACCGAATGCTGCTCCATATACTCCGACATATCAATTCTTATCATCAGCTTCTCATCATCAAACAACTGCTCCGCAAGAGCCTTTGCAAGTTCGGTTTTCCCAACACCTGTGGGACCCAAGAACAGGAAGGATCCGGTCGGCTGCTGAGCCCTCCCGAGCCCGGCTCGTAACCTCAGCACCGCTTCAGCCACCGTACTAACCGCTTGGTCTTGACCAACGACCCGTTGATGCAACCGATCGGATAATCCGATTAACCGCTCTTTCTCATTGGTTCCGAGTCGAGTCACCGGGATCCCTGTCCATCGACTCACCACCTCAGCTATCTGATCGGGTCCCACTGTTTCTGTCAACATCACATTTTCATCTGTTGTTCCTTCGAGTCTTGATATTGCAGTTTCCACTTCTTGAACTGCTCCAAATTTCAAATCTGCTGCTCTTGCTAAATCATATCTTCTTTCTGCTTCCGAATAGACGATTGGTGACCAAGAAGGGCTGAATCATTTGCTTCCAAAATCTGTAGTTGGTGGGTGAGAGTTTAAAGGCGAATTTGTGAGAATTGTGAGTAGTTTTCTCAACATTGGTAAAGGATTGGATCATCGCCATTGAAGAATGATTGAACGAAGAAAGAAAAGAGAGAAAAAATCGGTGATTTAGGGTTACAGAGGCTGTGGCGGCTCTGATACCATAATAAGCCACCGAATGATTTTTGTATTATTCTTAAGATTTGAAGATTACAATAAAGGTCCTATATATAAGACTAGATATTACACTTTAGTACCATCTATAATAAGATAAATAAAATACTGTTAAATATCTTAAATATATATTGTCTATTATCCCCCCGCAAGTTGAGGGCGGGGAACGACCTGCAACTTGGACCTTAGCATCAGAAATCTTTGAGATGGGAGCGGTTTCGTAAACACATCGGCAATTTGATCATGTGTGGAAATAAATTGAACTCTCAACTTTCCTTGAGCAACCTTTTCTCGTACAAAATGGTAGTCCACTTCTACATGTTTCGTTCGTGCATGAAACACAGGATTGGTGGAAAGATATGTGGCCCCCAAGTTATCACACCAAAGCGTGGGAGAGACTTTAGATGTAATACCAAGCTCGTTTAGGAGAGCTTATATCCATGTTATCTCAGCAACCGTCTCGGCAAGAGCTTTATACTCAGATTCGGTGGAAGATCTAGAAACCATACGTTGTTTGCGAGCAGTCCACGAAATTAGGTTGGAACCCAAGTAGATGGCAAATCCCCCCGTAGACCGACGGTCATCTGGACAGCCGGCCCAATCAGCATCAGAGTACGCTTTTAAGGTGGCACGCCAATCAACATCGGTGAAAGCTTGAAGTGTAGAAGCAGCCCCATGACGGATAAAGAGGCCAAAGTGCGATGTTCCCTTGAGATAACGAAGTATTCGTTTAACAGCAGACCAATGGTTTTCTGTTGGAGTTTGCATGAATTGGCAAACTTTGTTGACGGAAAAAGTAATATCGGGTCTCGAGAGAGTTACATATTGTAGAGCACCAACTGTTTGGCGGTATTTGGTTGGATCCGTTAGCAAGGGGCTGTCGGACAAGGTTAACACTTGAGAGCTGCTCATGGGCGATGACACGGGTTTGCAATCTGCCGTTAGCAAGGGGCTGTCGGACAAGGTTAACACTTGAGAGCTGCTCATGGGCGATGACACGGGTTTGCAATCTGCTAGACCAGTACGTGTTAGCAAGTCAGAGACATACTTGCGCTGAGATAGAATGATGTGTTTACCATGAGAAACAATCTCAAGGCCCAAGAAATAGTGTAAGTTCCCTAGATCTTGGACAACAAACGTTGATCCTAATTTAGAGATAACACCTGTGATTGCTTGAGGATCATTCCCGGTAACAATAATATCATCCACGTAAACAAGAACATAGACTAATGTACCCCTATTCTTGAGGATGAACAATGAGGGATCGGTTTTAGAACCAACAAAACCGAGAGATTGTAAGGTTGTAGAGAGTCGTTCAAACCATGCTCTTGGTGCCTGTTTCAATCCATACAAGGATTTATGGAGTAAGCAAACATGATCAGGTCTTGATTTATCAACAAAGCCCGGTGGTTGACGTAGATAAACCGTTTCCTTGAGATCACCATGGAGAAAGGCATTTTTAACATCAAGTTGTCTGAGAGACCATTGATTTGTCACAACAAGAGATAGAATAACACGGATTATTGTTGCTTTGACAACGGGACTGAATGTCTCTTGGTAGTCAACACTCGGTTGTTGGTTGAAGCCTTTCGCCACAAGGCGGGCTTTGTAGCGAGTAACATTCCCATTTGCATCCTTTTTTATCCTGTAAACCCACTTTGAATCAATGACATTAGTGTTTTTAGCAAATGGAACTAGAGACCAAGTTCCGTTTTTGACAAGTGCATCAAACTCTTCAGTCATGGCTTGACGCCATATTGGTGATTTGTTAGCAACGGTAAAAGAGGATGGTTCAATAGAATTAGCAGGACAATTGGAAGAAAAGTAGGTTGATGGGTCATATCTAGTGGTGGTTTTTGGGTTTTGGCGAAGGTTGGGAGGTCGGGTACGGGGTTGTGTGGGTAATGATGAAGGTTGGGGCTGAAAATTTGGTGTAGGGGCAGCAGGTATAGGCTAAGTTTGTGGGCTGTTAGAAGGCTGAAAAGAGGCAGCAGCGGGCGTAACCAGGGCTGCAGTGGGCTGAAAAGAAGTTGCAGTAGTAGGTGGATCTGGGGTTGCATTTTGAGTGTCGGGAATAGGTGGAGGTTGTGGAAAGGAGGAGAAATAAGGAGGTTCGTTTTCAGTAGGTAAAGGTGTAGGAGAAAGGGTAAAAGGGAAAATTTCTTCATTGAAACGAACATGGCGTGCAATGTATACGCGATCAGTGGTTGGATCCAAACACCGGTAGCCATGATGAAGAGGGCTATATCCCAAAAAGACACACGGGGTGGATCTAAAATCCATTTTATGTCGGTTATATGGGCGAAGATATGGGAAGCATTGACACCCGAAGATTCTAAGGAAAGAATAATCTGGGGTTTTATTGAAAAGATGCTCAAAAGGAGATTTGTTGGAGTAATTACGAGAGGGCAAACGGTTGATTAAGTAAACCGCTGTCTCGAAAGCAAAGTCCCAAAAACGTGGAGGAGCATGTGAGTGAGCAAGGAGAGCAAGGCCCGTTTCCACCACATGTCGGTGACGCCGCTCAACAAGGCCATTTTGGGCACTTGTGTGAGGGCAGGAGCGGCGATGGATTATACCAAGAGAGGTGAAGAAAGATGCAAGAGTGCGAAATTCACCCCCCCCCAATCGGTTTGAACTTGTTTAAGTTTTGTTGTAAATTGTCTTTCAACCATGAGAACAAAGTTTTTAAAAGTGATATAAACATCCGATTTTTGAGCTAATGGGTAAAACCACATGTATCGTGAATGATGATTAACGTATAATAAAAAATATCGGTGACCACTAAAAGAAGTAGATGGGGCGGGGCCCCAAACATCACAATAAACTAAATCCAAAACATGATTACTACGATAATTTGAAAGTGGCAATGATAATTTTGACGATTTCCCCATTTGACAACTAGAACATAAAGAAGAAATTACATGTGAAGAAATTGGTAAATGACTACGAGAAATAATTGATTGAAAAACACGAGCATGAGGGTGCCCAAGATGATGATGCCAAGTGGTTGATGATGCTTTGATGGCGGTGAAAGACATATGAGGAAGAGACTTCAATTTTGGGAGACACAACGAATATAGCCCTTGATTACTTGGTCCCGTGAGTAGGATGGAACGTGTAGACTCGTCCTTCACAACAAAAAAGGACGAATGAAATTCAAAAAACACGTTATTATCTAAGCATAATTGTTGAACAGATAAAAGGTTCTTTTTGATTTCAGGGACATGAAGAACATTGTATAGATTAAAGGTTTTGTTGGGAGAGTATAGTTTAGATGAACCAATGTGAAAAATAGGGAGAGGATTACCGTCACCAACATGAAGAGAATTGTTGTCATTGTAAACATCAGCATTGTCTAAAGTTGTGAAGTCGGGTGTAACGTGACTGTTTGACCCAGTGTCGGGAAACCATGTTGAACCGGCAGCCGAGCCATTTTCTGAGAATGTTGCATAATTGGCTTGTGACACGTCACGAGCTGAAGTTAAAGTGGGCTGATTTGGGCATTGGGCTGGAATATGACCTATGCCACACCGGTTACAGTGGCCATACACCATATTCTGAGTTGAAGCCCAAGCAAACTGAGGTGGACGAGTGTTACCACCGGAACCAGAAACGCGTGAATCATCACGATTTCGGTTGTAGTTGCCACGGGAGTTACCACGACGCTTGCCCCGGTAATTGTTTGAAGTTCGGTTGGTATAGAAGGCTTGGGGCTGATTGTTTGTAGCCACAATGGGGCTGATTTGGTAGCCAAGTTGTGCTGCCAGCTGCTGTAAACTAGTCAATTGTGCTGGTGGGGCAGCTGGGAGGCGTGAAACAGGTGGGACAGCAGCCGTGAAGGCCTGGGGGACTGCTGGAAGTGATCGATTTATCATAAACTCATGATCACTTAATAACCCATGCAGTTCATGGAAGGTTATTGGAGGGAAACGAGCCAAAAAATTTGACTTTAGGCCATTATATTCATCACGTAGCCCGGAGATAGCTAGCATGGTTAAGTCTTTGTCTTTTACGGGTTCTCCAATATTGGCTAAAGCAGTTGCATATTCCTGTGCTCGGGTGAGATAGGCAGATGATGTTTCATCACCCTTCATCTCGATCTTCAAAAGTTGAGTCTTCAATGTGTATTCACGAGAAGAGTTGTTGGGGGCATAGGCTCTTTCAAGGGAGAGCCATAGATCCCGGGAAGTTGTACCTTGAACATGTTGATAGGAGGCTTCTGAAATAGTAGAGGCAAGAAGCATCCGCACATGTGCATCATTGGTAATCCAATGAAGATAGTTAGGGTTATCAGTGGAGGCTGTGTCAGTAGTTGCAGCAGTCTTCGGTGGAGGACATTGGATGGTACCATCTATATAACTGAATAGACGATTGGTGACCAAGAAGGGCTGAATCATTTGCTTCCAGAATCCGTAGTTGGTGGGTGAGAGTTTAAAGGCGAATTTGTGAGAATTGTGAGTAGTTTTCTCAACATTGGTAAAGGATTGGATCATCGCCATTGAATAATGATTGAAAGAAGAAAGAAAAGAGAAAAAAAAATCGGTGATTTAGGGTTACAGAGGTTGTGGCGGCTCTGATACCATAATAAGCCACCGAATGATTTTTGTATTATTCTTAAGATTTGAAGATTACAATAAAGGTCCTATATATAAGACTAGATATTACACTTTAGTACCATCTATAATAAGATAAATAAAATATTGTTAAATATCTTAAATATATATTGTCGATTACACGTTTTCATCTGTTGTTCCTTCGAGTTTTGCTATTGCAGTTTCCACTTCCTGAATTGCTCCGAATTTCAAATCGGCAGCTCTTGCTAACTCAGATCTTCTTTCTGCTTTTTCTAGTGCTACTAAAAGCTCCTCCCTTTTCTATTTCAGTCTACGGATTTTCTTCCATCCGTTTTTCCCCCTTTTTGTATTTCTTCATTAGTGGTTTAAGTCTGCCTCTTAAATCATCGAGCTCCTTTTTCAATTCAACAAGACGAGCTTTGCTTGCTTTGTCTTCTTCTTTCTCCAAAGCATGAACCTCAACTTTTAATTGCATCTTTTTCCTTTCAAGATTGTCTATTTCTTCAGGTTGACTATCAAATTGCACCCTAACATTTGCACAGGCCTCGTCCACAAGGTCAATAGCCTTATCAGGGAGGAAACGTGCTGCATACAAATTAACAAGCAACATCAGAACCATATATATATAAATTGAGAAGAACAAGTTCAAATCAATAAAAAGAAAGTGAATCACTGAATCAATTCATACCAGTTATATATCGGCTTGAAAGTTGAGCAGCAACAACAAAAGCACGATCAAGAATTCTAACACCATGATGACCTTCATATCTCTCTTTCAACCCTCTAAGAATGCTTATGGTGTCAGGAACACTAGGCTCAGCCACTAAAACATGCTGGAAACATCTCTCAAAAAGCAGCATCTTTTTCCACATACTTTCTGTACTCCTCTAAAGTGGTTGCACCAATACACCTGAGTTGACCCCTTGCAAGCATGGGCTTGAACAGATTTGCAGCATCCATGGATCCTTCTGTACGACTCGCTCCAAGAACAAGATGGATTTCATCAATGAACAATGTCACTTTCCCTTCAGCCTTTTCCACTTCTTTCAAAACGGCTTTCAGTCTCTCCTCAAACTCCCCAAAATATGAAGCTCCAGCGATTAAAGCTCCCATATCCAATGATATAACTCTCATATTAGTAAGATTACTTGGGACATCTCCTCTAAGAATCCTTTGAGCTAATCCTTCAACAACAACAATTTTTCCCATACCAGGTTTTCCCACACCAGGTTCACCAATAAGAACATGATTGTTCTTAGTCCTTCTTGATAAAATCCTAATCACTCTCCTAATTTCCTCATCTATCCCAATTACAGGTTCAAGCTTCCCAACTTGATCTACAAGATCACGACCATATGTGTAAAGAGCTTCGAAATTAGTATCATCTGAAGCACTTTCCACCTTCTTCTCTTCTTTATCTCGGAGCTTTTCTACCTTTCTTTTCACTCTCGATGCACCAACTCCGGCGTCTTTTAGAAGTTCTGAAATTTGTGAATCTTCAAGAATGCCCAAAATCAATTGATCCACGGCCAAATGGGTGTCACCACGGGATTTTTGTGAAGATTGTGCGCGACGAATTGTCGTGATTAGAGAAGTACTTGCTGTAACTTGATCAGGGGGAGGGGGTTGGGAAGGGAGTTTCTTCAATGCTTTAGGGGGTGTTTGGATTAGCTTATTAGCTTATTGCTTATTAGCTTATTTGTGGTGGGAATAAGCAATTAGCAATAAGCATGGGGATAGATGCTTATTAAAATTAGCTTATTTAGCTTAATAAGCTGATTTTTAAAGATTTTATCCAAACACTCAAAGTTAGCTTATTGTTGTGGGAATAAGCAATAAGCAATAAGCACCCTCTTTTTTTCCTATCCAAACACCCCCTTATTAAAAACCCACTCCGCTGAATAACCTGCTTCTTCACCACCGACATTGTTTATTGCTTGCCAGAATATTCCATTATCGTCAGAAATCAAAACTGCTGCAATATGTAGCGGTGTGTACTGTGCTTGTCCAGCATTCATTGCGAGTTCTTGACCTAAAGCCAAAGCTTAATTCGTCTCGTGGGTGTATTCGTCAGGATTCATGTTTGATAATACCTCTTAAATAACCTACAAACGCAATAACAAGAACATCAGTTTGTGTTTTATAAAGCATATCAATGAGTTTCGAATTATCTTGAAAATAAAATACAGAGATAAGAGAATGTCTTACCCACGGAATTGAATGAAGAACTTTGATAACTGATGATGAATAATAAGAGTGATGAAACGCTTTATATACATGTTGGAGCCGCGAAAGGCATCGGGAAGATGGGCTCTGTACCCTACCAGAATCCATAAGTGTTCGAGAATTTCGGATTAAAGCGATATCTATTATTATTGGATTCCAAATATATAATTTTAAATATCAACATATGATTTCGAATCTTTATCAAAATATGATACCGAATCTTTAATTTCTAAATTTTAGGTCGTTTTGTTTCAAATTGTATCCATCCATCTCTATTCCTTCCAAAATCGTAATTTTTTCCACCATTTTAGGTTTATCTACATATTACCATTTTAAAAAAACCCTCATTTAATATATTTCAGAAAAGAAAGTTTAAAAAAAATAATTAAAAAAATGTAGAAAATTTATTTAATAAAACAAGTCGTTCATGTATCTTAAGATTCTTTTTAAATTTTGGTTTACACAGATTATTATTAATATAAATATTAAATGTGTTGATTTGCGTGTTAAAAGCTTATGATTTTTCCAACTTATTTGAAAGGGAAGTGATTTGTACACAACCGTTTTTATCCGCACACAACATTTTATGTTTGATTGAGTTGTACAATACAACATTTTAAAGCACAAATTGTTGTGTATTGAGAAATTTTGTTGTGTACGAATCACCTCTCTATTTGAAAAGCAAATAATTATGTAAAAAACAATTTGAATATTCCCATTATTTTTTTTTTCACGTGAAAATTAGATAAATGAAAAATGAACTAGAAAATCAAATATTAGGAAAGTATTAGGCAAATTAAAAATAGGAAATCAAATATTAGGAAAGTATAGGTTTAAACTCATGTACTACGAGTGGTTTACAGAGTAGAACAACTTTGAAACTTAATAATTAATAATTCATTTGCAATGTTTCTTTACGTTCTCCGATGTTTATTGTCAAATCTTTATTCTCAATAAGCAAAAGTCTCATATAGTATTAATAATGAAATAGTTTTCCAAAGTAAACAATTAATGAAATTCGGCATGCTAAATAAGACCCTGTATTTTTGGGTTAAATGCAAGTAATAGCAACGTACTTTCATACATTTGTGTTTTATAGCATAATGTTTTCCTATTTTCCAATTATAACATTGTATTTTGTAAACTATAGTAATCACATCAATTTTATGTAGATACAATACAATTTCCATTTAGATGAGTCCATTTTTTTTAAATACATTGTTATAATAAGAATAAAAGCACAATTTAATGCTAAAGTTAGGTGAACTCTAAAATGAGAAGAAGTGTGACTTAAGTTGGCAAATCATGTAAGATCTCTTTCAACAATCATTGGAAGAATATATTCATCTGAACTACAAATATTCAACAAAACCCCCATCATTAGACTTTAGATGGAATCATGGAAGAAAGGAAGAGGAAACGCATTAAATCATATCCCCATTAAGTCAAAATGAAACACCATATAAGTTTATGAAAAAACACAACTGACCTATTTTCTCTGGAGGCCACTTGAAAAACCAGGCACATGTTTGGTGAAGCATGGTGCATTGAAATGGATGCATACCCAGAATCCGATAACATAAATATTCAGTTAGATAAAACAACGAATACTAAGTAAAAAAAAAGATTTGTTTATTCAAATATGTTTATTCAATGGGTAAGTATACTTTCAAAACAATCTTGTAAATGTTTTTAGATCTTAGTTGGATCTTACTATTAATTGTTAGTGGCAAACATAATGTAGCAAAAGCTAAAAAAATTAAAACCATCTTACAAATGTTTCACAGAAATGTATCATTTATAATTTTTAAAATGTCTTTGCTATTTTCTTCTTACCGACATTCAACAGGTTTATGGATGCTTGGTAATGTACATGAGGGGTTAGATTCTTCAATGTCTTGAACCTTCTGAGTGTGTTTACTTAGTAATTATGCTTTCAGTTAAATTGTTATTTTTATAAATAAGAAATGTTCGTGAAGATGGTGGTGATAATGATTGTCACACCCCCGAACCGTCGGAACGGACGGCGGAAACGTCCGGGGGCGGGTGACGTCATGTGTAGTATCACAACAGTTGTATCATAGTAAGCGAAGTAAACACAACCATTACATTATAATAAGAATATTTACATTGCTTGAAAACATAGTTTGTTCATAACAGTATATAACAAAAGTAAAAGACGTGACTCCAAAACGCTCCGTCTTCTCCAAAAGTTGGCAAGAGTACCTGTCTATTGTTGCCCTGAGAATACAAGCAGTTTTAAAATATCAGCATAAAGCTGGTGAGTTCTTAAGCGTTTAGTTCTGGTAAAAGAAATGTTTCTTTGATCCTTTGAAAAGTGTTTCCCAAGAAAATCCTATATTTTCTTATGAAAGATGTTTGATTATCCAATAGTTGTATGTTAAACAGTCCGTTTATGTAAGGTTGAGTTATCCCAGGAAAATCCTATATTTTCCTTATAAGTTGATAGTTGGTTATCTGTTATTGTCTGAGGTGTACAAGTATCTACCATACTTGTATCGTTAAATGTAGTTTCCTTGAAAAACCATGTTCGCTCCATATGAGATGTATTAGCCTTATTACATAAATAAAACTAATAAATAAGTAGTGAACTAAATCCTAAGGGTATTATCAATACCCTCTAGTAATCAAATCGGTTATTACTTTGAGGTTAGTTCACTTGTTTCATTATTAAAAAAGTAAATTTCGTTATCTAGGTTGCGAGTGTCATAACCGTACTTAGACTTGATATGGCACGTAACGGGGCCAGTATCATTTTATGACTTTGTCACCCGTAGACCTGACGGTCCCACTGTAGCTAGAAGCGAGGTGCGGGATAGTCAGTCCCGTATAGATCTATACACAACAGTCACGCTCTCCCTCCAAGAGATTCTGGTTACAAGTGTTAGTCCTACACTCTCGAATTCGGTGGGAGTGTTACCAAGGACGTGTCTCCAACTTTAGACTAACAATTTGCATGTAATAATACCGAAAATCCTGTTTATGTGTTGTATGAATTCTTTATACAACACATGTAATAATACCGAAAATCCTGTTTATGTGTTGTATGAATTCTGGTTACAAGTGTTAGTTTTGATAACCCTAAATCCTCATTAAATCCGGATTACCCTGACTTGCTTCCAAAGCAACTAATGATGGCCCAACCGTAATAAAACCCTAGTATCGTTTAATATATAAACGACTCTTCCTTCTGAGAAGGTGGTGACGAATTTTAGCTCTCGTTTTCATCAAGCTCTCACAGAATTTCTCTAGCAAATTGGCTTACGATTTCTGTGCCTAGAATCGTAAGTGTCCGCTTGGATTATCCTAGGCTGAATTTCTTGCAACCCAGACATAGGGTAGAAATATCAGTTCGGAAAGTGTTCTCACGATCCAAGTTAGTATCCAGATCTCCACCACAAACCCTATAAGTTTCCTACAAATCTTAGATTTTTCAACATACAAGGTCCTAACAAGAAAACATTTTAAACTACTACCTGCTACATAAAATAACTCTTGCACTCCATAGCTAAGCTTCAATACCTTTGGGGCCATGTAATAAGTGCTTCCTACCATTCAGAGAACTTCTCACCTATATTAACAACTTTCAGTAGATAGTTGGAGTCATGTTGAGAGATAATTCATCAACATTATAAAAATATTTATCAAGTAAATATAGAACTTTTTTTAATCTATTTATATAATTCAATTAGTAGTGTCCACATTAAGTACTCTCAAAAGTATCTTCAACCATACTAAAGCTAAAATTAACACACCAAAGAAATCAAGCAGACTAGAAAAATTACAACACATCTCCTTGTGTGATTAATTATTACAAGATTAGTAACCAATTGTTGTATTTTTATATACTAAGTGAGTATTTCTTGGTTCTGTGTGTGCAGTATTCAAACAATATTCCCAAATATTACTCAAGAACTTTAAAAAAATCCTAATTATTATGATAACTTGACATCTCTAAATATTATTAAAAGAGAAATCTGATTACATCATCTTCAACAATCAAATCCATTGATTGACTTTCCTTTATAGGTTTTCCACCTTGGATCAATTTGATGATGTCTATCTAAAAAAAATTCAAAACTCCTTTTCTTTTGAAAAATGCGTACGCGAATTGTAACCTCTCCATAGTTTCCAAATTTGGATTGCATTAGTAACCTAAAATCTCACAAACCTTAACCCTATTTCGGCTCCACCATTGCAACTTGACACCCGCGATGCCTTCTCTGCCGACAAACTCTGTACACTATCAGCCATCGTCAAACAACATCTCTTCTGTCTCTCTCCTTTCTCTCTTGAGTCTCCGGCATCCATTTGTTATGAGCACCCTCCGTACGCTGTCGATTGACTCGGTTTCGAGCAAGAAACTGCCATATCAATGGTAGGTAAGCTTCACAATGTTCCCTTTTAGCACAAGGTCATCTCCTTGACAGTGCTCCTAATCTTAATCATTGGCTAATCCATAAGATTAACTACATTTTTTTTGATTTTAGTGCAAGATTTGTAGTTTCTGTTTAAATTGTGGCAGAGTTTGCAAACCTGCAATTGCAATTCTAAATTTATTTGGAACAAACATGTATTTTAAATTACTCTTAAGTGTTAAAAAAGTTCTTTTGTTCATTATTAACCTAAAAAAATTGTTTTTTCGTTGTCTGTTTCAAAGAGTAAGTGGAGGTATTATCCATGGCTACCTGTGGATACCATAAGGTCGTGACAAAAATCAAGACAATATATAACATGGTCACCGCCTTTAGTCTGAGGTTTATTTTTCTATTTTTCATTTTGATTTCTATTTAATTCGTTAACTTTTATTGAACTTGACTAAACCATTGTTTGTGATGTGAAAATGTCATTAAGGGACAAGGAAAATTTTAAAAGACACATTTTTAAAGTGATTTTATTAATATGCCCACCAATTGTTTGGTAAAATGCCCCACTTACAAATGTTTCTTCTCATCTTCAGGTAACTAACTTATCAATGCCACAAAAGTAATTTTTAACTTACTTGTTTTGATATTTATATTTTAGTTTATTTTCATAATTTTATTGAATGATGTAGGAACAAAGCTGAAAGAAGTTGGTAAGTCTGCACTAACAAAATATTTCTACCGAATAACTCAACTGTCATATGAAGAACATCTCAATCAAGAAAATGCTTCAGCATACAAGAGATCATTGATAAGTCCTCTACAACAAACTTAAGAAGTGAATAACTTCTAAAAGATAATTTACAAAGAATTCTATAATCAAAATGCATGGTCTTGATTATGCACGTGTTTTGGGCTATTGGATAATTACTTTGTACATGGTTATGTGGGCTATTGCATTTGTCATTTTACAAAATTTAGATTGGTAAATCCTGGAGCATATGTGGGTTTCATGTCCGTTCTTTTCCGTCACTGCTATATTGGCACTACATGATTGGATGTTGGCTATTGCATTCGTCTCCATTGTTTTTGGTGATTGATAAGTTAGTGTAAAAGAGAGGGGGGGGGGGGGGTGCAGAGTATGATGGAAATTAATAGAAGGATGATACTCTCCTTATTAATAGATCTCAACTGAAACGATGATGTTTTGACAAGCTTTTACTTGAATTGGTAACTATAATATCTTTAATTTTACTTGAACTGGCACCAATTTATTGTTCATGACAACTTTATTTCTTAAACATTTTTGTATATTTTCTTGAATTAGGCAGCCCAAATAGATATTCTTTGTTGTTACGAATTAGGTTACTAATATCGCTTTTTTGGCTTTTGCAGAAGTCCAATTCCTCCCCAGTTTGGAAAGATTTCACAACCGCATAGGGTAGAAGTATGTCACACTCATCCTTTTTTACTTACAAAAAGTGTCAAGTTTGGTCTGATGCAAAAAGAATGGTCGGGACCTTACTTCCAATTAATATTGAGATTAAGACGGGTTAGCTCCTTTTTTTCATTGTTTGTCATTTTCTAGATTTAATTTTTTTTTTTCTGATTTGGTCATATTTCTTTTTCATCTATCAAGGTACTTGTTCGTGAGATTGAATGGGTGAAGTATTTGTCTCCATCAGAAGGGACAAAAGGTATTTATGATGAAATTATACTTTTATCCTAATTTATAATTTTTCCAAATCTAGGTTTAAGATGATTCATTTGATGGGAATATAAGTAAATTGTTTGTTTGATACCATGCCTTAGAGGGCAACCCGTTTGGATCTTATTTTTCTCTGATGGATACAGTTGTAGGACATGACGTGACAGGTGATCTTAAAATGTTGAAATTTATAGGAAATCGCTAAAAAGAGTTTATAGAACCTAATCTCTAATTAGCCAAAACAGATTTGTTAAGAAGTTTAATACATTCACAGGATTATGGAATTCTGCTTATACGTTAAATGTTTTTGCTTTATTTATTTATTTTTTGTTTTTTGAATTCTTGGTATGAAAATCAAGTATGTATAAACGATGAAATTTTTTTAGTCATCGAGAAACATGAGCATAGGACAAGTAAAGTTTGATATGTAGGAAGGACGTATGGAATCTTTGGAGAATACAATATCATGTTTGATTTGGTTTAAACATTTAATCTTTGTTTACTTAAAATTGGTGATATTTATGCATATTTACTTGCATTTGTTCAAAATTTCTTTCGTTCTTAATTCCAAGTATGGGTTATGGATCCTCCATTTATAATATCTCCAAGGATAAGTTTTGAATTTGGTGTTTTACTTCTTGGTGGTTTATGGCATTGAAGTACATGATAGTCTCAACGTTCAAAAGAAGTAGCTATGTGTTCAGCGTAAGTATCTTGAACGAATGAAGCTTGAAAAGCTCTTAATGAAGTCATGGTCTAAAAATTATAATTAATAGCATCGTACTTAAAGATATTTTTTTACCAAAAATCTCACTTTTCAACCGAATACTGGCTGAGTATTTTTTTTAATATCTTAGAAGTGGGGAAAACTGCTTATGTCCTACCAAAAGTATTAAATTCCTCTCTTGTAATATTTGCTGAGTATTTATGTATCTTATTACTATCATTACATTTGTTTTTCATATTATAGAACGACTCTTTTTATGCATTTTAAACGATTGTGGGCATAAATAATCTGTGGCATTGATAAAAGCTCACATACAAAATAATTGTCAAGTATCGTTTTTTGCTTCAAAACGAGAAGTCTAATAGCATCATTCATCTCTAATATAATAATAATGTGTTAAATGTTATAAATGGTCAAAGAATCGTTTGAATTACAATAACACCATGCTTATGTTTTTTGTGTATAGCATACTAATTTCATTTTTTCCATTATGGTGCTTTCAGTTCTTTTCTTAATAACACATCGAAATTTGAAAATTCATCCCAATTATAACATTGTACTCTCATTTTTTTCTTTATCTCATGCAAATTTGACTACTTTTCCCCATAGGGCACTAAAATAATGATATAAAAGTTAAATTACCAATAAAATTTTACGAAAAATAAATTAATTTATACATTTGGTCCCTAAGTTTATGATATGTTCACTTTTGGTCCCCACAAAAAATTCTCATGCAGTTTGGTCTTAATTCGAGATTTTTGTAACATATAGTATCCACGTTTCAAGTGAAATGACTGTACTTTTGGACCAAAAATGCAAAATAAGAAATGTACTCAAAGACCAAAAGGAGTCTTTTACATGGGACATGGACAACAAATGTTACAAGAAACTCAAATAAGCACCAAAAATGCAGGAGGAAAATTTTTCAAACCAAAATTTATATAATCAACTTTACTTAGGGACCAAAACACAATAAACACATTGGGTAAATTTTTTATTTAGTCGAATATCCTATTTTTGTGTATGAGCAGTTCATTTTGCTTTTCTGACCAATTCTCCTTATCTTTCCGGAAAGGAGGACGAAAACATTAGCCATAAAATGTTGTTGTCGCAACCATTACTGCCATTTAGGTAGCGTAATGTTATGCTTATTGGTTTATTTTATTGGTTTCAAACTTATTGAATGAATTTTTATAGGGTTTCTTGCAATTGGGGGGTATCCTTTCTGAGAAGGGACAATTCAAATTAGAAGAAAAATTGAGGGAGATTTTATGAGCAAATTTTATCTATAGATATAGTAAAAAATTCCAAAAACAAAGTAAATCCTCAGATGGTGTCCATGAGATAAATTCTTCTAACCAATCCTTCATTTTTAACATAAAAGATCAATATAATATAAGTACTTAATATTGTAATTTTTAAGAAAGTTTGTTGCTTATGCAATCTCACGTTCCAAAATCTCCAATAGACAATGTTTTTTTGAAACTTTAAAAGAAAGTTACTTCAATATTTTATTACTGAAAAATACCTCTAATATAAGTACTTAATTTTGTAATTTTTAAAGTATATTTTTTTCCGATTGCAGTATCAATAATGGAAATGGATATTGACTAAGGTCATGTCTCCTTCATTATTATATATGACTATTCAATGCTCTTACTTATAAATTTCGATTTTCCAGAATTTTTTTTAGTCTTTAATTAAAATTTGAATATTTTAATTAACTTTAATATTTTGTAATAACGTTTTACCTGTAAGGCTACAACAATTTCAGATAATAACAATGAACTTTCATTTCCTCTGATATGTACATTGGTATTTTAGATCCAGTCATGTAGTTCATGCCACGTTTGGTTTGTTTCAAGTGTAGATATAAAGTCATGTGCTGGTCCTGATAGGTCCAAAATATCAATGTACTTTTACTTCAAATTATATAACAATATTGAAAGGTACATTATGTTTCCAAAATTGCTGCTATATTTCTATTTGAGTTGCCAATAGACTATAGAAAATGCTGCCATTTCAAGTCACTTGTGAAAATGATATGCTTAAACACCAAAGTACAATGCTAACTATTTAAAGGATAGATTACTAACATCAACCTATTGATCATTTCAAGTAATTTACTTTATTTTATATCATAACGCCTAAACATGAATTAAATATTTAACAAGCGTAGCAATAAGGTGGCCCATGTGAATCGAATTTGTCAAAGTCTAATCAAGTAAACCAACATGGAGTTGGTCAAAGGCATTACTCCAGCAAGTAAACTCAGGAATCTCTGTGTTCGTACTCAGAAGCTTTGGCATCTATGTTTGTCAATTGCTTTTGTCCCTTTAAGTTATTCATAATTTGTACTTGTACTGCAAATAAATTGATATATTTTTGCTTTGTAAGTTACTTTTGTCCCTTTAAGTTATTCATAATATGCTCATTTTGAAACATTTTTTCCAGATGTCAAACTAATCCCATAAATGAAAATATATTATTTTTTTATATGTTCCCCCGCGTTTTACGCAGGTCATAATCTAGTTAGGTAAATATATCTCAAAAATTAACTTTTACTTTTTAATTAAACGACATTACTAAAAAAACAAAGTTTTAAATATTCACTTTCACGAAAATAATTACATTATAATTAGGTTTAGTTATAAAAGGTTAAAAGAATTTGAAAAAAAAATCAAGTAAAAAAAATGATGTCTTAATTGTAGTTATAAAATACATCCATATTTGATATCATATGTTGAAAAATACATTTATATCTTGTCAAATATATTTCTTTCTTCATTTTTTAATCTCTTTTAAAAGTTTTTTTTAGGTGAATTTAAAATTAATCACAATTAGCAATAGAAGAAGTTATAAAATTCGAAAGCACTTTTTGGTTTTAGTTAGCTAAATAAGTCCATCCATTTTTATTCATTTTATATGAGTTCATTATTTTTTTAAATAATCTTAACAGGAGTTAAAAGTAAAATTGAATTGAAGATATTAATTTTAGACAATAAAAATAATCTTAACAATCAGACATCTAATGTTGTGTTCAGAGAAGTATTTAAAAATTTATGGTTTTTAACAATTAATTACAATATGTCATTACTAATTTTTAATATTTTGGATTCAATTACGTACTTATTCGATAAAGTCTTTGCTTATACGTATTACCTTAATAAGTACTTGATGTTCAAAATTTGATATTAATTTTTTTTAATAAACTCGTGTAATACATGAGTCTTACACCTAGTAATTCTATTATAGTAATAATTAATTCTTAGTAATAAATAAATTTTAAATATCTTTTAAATAAAAAATATAGTTTGAATGAGTTTTTTTGATAATTAAAAAGTTATATTATATAAAATCTAATAAAGAATAATTTAAATATTTTTTTAAAACAAAATTGTAAGATTGGTCCCTGTGGTATATCAAAACTTGTATGTTTGGACCGACTAGCATCAATGGTCCAACAATTTTATTTTCTTCCGAGTTTGGTTTAATTTGGTTTGAACTTTTTTGTAAAGATGATTTTGCCCTTGTTATTTAATATTTTATTTTTTATTACCAGCAATTTAAAAACAATTAAAAATAAAACAAAAATAAAATCTCTCTCTCTCTCTCTCCCTCCCTCTCTCCTGTAATGTAACAACACAAATTTCCAATAAAAATTTTCATTTTAAATAACCAAAACATTTCCAAAAGATATAAAATTCCAAACACATTTGTTTTTTAAATCCATAACATCGGATAATTTATTCGTAAAATCAGAGTGTCCCAAATGAAACGCCAGAGAGTGCATGTCACACCATCACGCCGGGCTCTTGCCCTTAAATCCTGAAGTACCTGAAACAACCAACAAACTGTAAGCTGATGTTTAGTGAGTTCCCCAGAGCATACCCCACACAATCCACATAATCACATAACCTATATGAGCTATATCAGCTACATATATCACATAAGTCATGCATACAAACATATAAGGATTCCATGGAAACCCTCCAAGGTCTTACACCGGGTGCCACTGGAACTCGCACGTGGTCTTAACCCACTGCCATGGGAACCCCCACATGGTCTTAACTACCTGCCATGGGAACCCCCACACGGTCTTCACTAACTGCCATGGGAACCCCCACATGGTCTTAGCTAACCAAAGAATATATCATGCAAGCTAAACATACAAACATACTAGGATGCCATGGAAACCCTCCAAGGTCTTACACCAAATGTCATGGGAACCCTTACATGGTCTTAATCTACTGCCACGGGAAACCCTTGGGGTCTTCCATGCAAATGTCATACCAACATAACACATAACCAACTATCGATCCACATATCACATAATGGGCCGGTCTTGGTGCCTTCGACCCATTGGTATGGTGAGAAGACTCACCTCTCAAGAAATACTGAACCGGTAAAAATCAATCCCAACTCACAACTCCGAACTCAACCGCCTACAACCACCATGCAACTAACTTCAACAAAACCCCGAATTAACAAAGATACCCTTAAAGTCAAACTTGGTCAACCCTTGTCCAAGTCAAAGTCAACAGTCAAGGTCAACAATCCATGTTGACCCAACTCGTCGAGTTCCTTTAGTGTTCAGAGAACCGGGAAAAACCCTAGCCAACTCGCCGAGTTATCTTATCAACTCACCAAGTTCGATCAGTATCCAGAAAGCGGGAAAAACCGATCCAACTCGTCGAGTTGTCAGGGCAACTTGTCGAGTTTTCCCAGTCTTAACATATTCAGTCCCTTCCAGTCGAAACTAAAGCCCCAAACTATAGATCTGGTCCCCTAGGGTTAAGATGCCACGTAAAGTTGCTAACTTTACATCCAAGCAAGGCATTAAAGGGCTAAAACACTCAAACAAAGCTTATCAAGGGACTTAGAGAGCATGAAGGAGGGCTAAGACTTGATAAAGTTGGCAACTTTAAGTCCACAAGGGCCATGAGATGTCCAGATCTGAAGCCATATCTTCATAACTTGCTCAAATCCAAGAATTATCCCAAAATAGGCTAATAATGGCCATAAACTTTCAAGTGACGAGATCTAGCAAAAGAATAGTCAATGTATCGACTTTATACCTTAATATAGCTGCCACAACAGAGAAATCCCTGATCTAAAGCTTCTCCCTTCAATTATGCACCACCAACTTCAACTCCTTCAAGAAACACCAAGGAACACACTCTTTTAACTCACACACAATAAAAAAAATGGGAGATGAGACACGATTTAGGGTTTCTCTGGACTGAGAGGACGATGAGGGAGGCTAACAATGAGGCTTAAAGCCTTTAAATAGGGTGCAAACCCTGAAAATTAGGGTTTTTCCTTTCCAGCGTCTATTCGTCGAGTTGGGGCTCCCCAACTCGTCGAGTAGACCCTTAATCCCGTATCCATAAAGATCCCTACACGACGAGTTGGAGCTCACCAACTCGTCGAGTTCCAGTCCAAACCTTAAAATGTTGAGAAATAAATAATACCTTAGATCAAGTGTTACATGTAAACATCGAGTAAACTCAACTCCATTTCAAAATCAAAAACAAACAAATGTGAAGACCCATTCAAGTGAGGAAATATCAAAAAGACTAGAAGGGTGTGCCTTTTTCTAGGTTTATGTGTGTGAATCAATGTGTCTATTTATATTTGATCTTTCTTTTGGTCATCGATCCAACGTCTCCACCCTCCTAACATCAACCATACAACTATCAAAGAAACAAACCCCTAACCGAACTTCAACCCAAGATCGAAAATTGCCCCACTTCGCCTCTGTAAACCCTACCTCGACAAACAATCAAATAATCAATTCGTCTTTCTCATTCTCCGACGGCATCACCGTTTAAAACACTAGCGTTCGTTGGAATGACGGTGCTTGTTGATTGTTAGGGTGTTTGGTGACTGATTGCTACATGGCGACGGTTGGAAAAACATTTTTGTTCTTGAAACTGTGTGAAAGGGAAAGAAAGGTCCAGGCCTCAGTTCTTATTTTGAAGGGTAAAGTTGTTTATATGTGATGATGTAAGCATTAACGGGAGGCCTCCTGTTTATAGAGGGATGAGCAAATCATAATTCAAGATCCTCGTCGTTGGTGTCAATGTCAGTTGCCCGAGAAGCCATGACTTGGGCCTGACGCTGAGACATAACCGGAGATGAAGAAGCGGCGGTGGTAGCGGGGGTGTTGCTAGATTTACTGCTCCATTTGTATGGGTAAACTAGACTTGAGATTCGCCCCTGGTCTATTTGAGAAAGAGAGTTGAT